TGTTCTCTTTAGCTATCTGACGCAACTCTAAACAACTACACCTACTGATTAATATAGCGGACATGTCATTTTTTGAGTATCTTTGAACTACGAGACATTCTGTTCACTTGGCTGCCTATATTATGCTGATTATTTACCTGTGGTTTTGTACAAATTAAACGAAACCTTTGTATAGTCTACAAAACTACCAGTCGTTTGGTATATAAGCTACCGAACCTCCAGACAGTTTACGAGACTATCCATAGTTCAGTATATAATATGCCGAACTTCCAGACAATTTACGAAACTATCTGTGGTTTCGTACAAAATATACGAAACCTTCGCATAGCCTACGGAACTATCCATAGTTTCGTATATAATATGCCGAACCTCCAGACAGTTTACGAAACTACCGGTGGTTTCGTACAAAAAAGACCAAACCTTTTTGAGGACAACGAAACCAAGAGCGGTTCCGGGAACGTATTACGAAACCATCTTTCATTTCACGAAACTATCCGAGGATTGGTACTTGACGTACGAAACCACAAGGCAATTTACCGAACTTACGAAGAGTTTCGTTGTAGAATTGCCAAACCCTGTGGAACCTACTGAACTTAAAAAGGTTCTGTGTCAAAAACACGAAACGATTTACATTTCACTGAACTTAAAATCGTTCGGTGCAAAGATGCGGAACTTTTAAGGTTCCGTGGAACACCTTTATTTTTTAGAGTGTATAATATTCCCAACTTCGTTCTGTTCCTCCACCTCGTCCGTTGCTTCGTACGTTGGTAAGTACCTAGACTCTCGATTGTTACCATCACGTAATTGTTGCACTCTGCTATAACCGGTGCAAGGTAAAACTCGCGGTACGGTTGTAGTAGCTCTATCAAATTCGTATTCAAAACAACTGTCGCTATTGTTCTCGTTTTCTGAATCTAACTATCAATGTACACTATTTTTGAGAAGGTAATAAAACAACCCACCTTATAACCACTGATGTATACAAATAATCGCGAATTATATGTGGTCTACTTCTACAGGTTCCGCTAATGTCCTTAGACAGATATATGCGGTATAGCATAAAATTAAAAGCTAGGATATATACAACAACCTACATATTTCAAGAAACCAACTAAAACAAAACACAAACACCCATTATTAAACGAAAAATAAAGTATTTCACGCGGACTGCTGGTAGAATTATATAACACTGACTCATTTCCCATTACAAAATGTCTACCGTAAGAGCAACTATCAAAGATCTTCCAAATGAGATCGTTTACAAGTTATGTCGCTATTTATATCAAGAAGAAAAACCATTTTTCTACCCGGTAAGGCCGATTCACAAGTTGATGTACCTCGATATGTGTTGTTTTATCTTGTACAGTGACGCTAGTTTTTTATTTTTATTTTTTATTATTGTCTGCTAATAGTTATGATATCGTTATGTAGTATTAGTCGTTTTTAAACCCAGTAGATGATCTTCGATATTCGTTGTCGTGTCATGTAATACTTTTCTGACTATTACACATTTATTCTTAATAACAAGTAACGCTCATCTCCGATTCGCAGAACCCTTACTGGAAGGATGCCTCTTAATAGGCATCTTTGCCCAATTCTAAGCAGGACTTAAACTTTTTCTTTGTATATTTTTATGTTGTTGTGAAGCTGTGTAACGCTTTTGTAAGAAATATATGCCCTAACACACAAGGGACACGTCCCGAGTGCCAGGACTAAAATGAGTCCATGTGTGTTTTTCGCTTGTCTGCGCCTAATTTTTAGAAACTGTCGGAAATTACTGAAAAACCGCGGAAAAACTACGGAAAATTGCTATGAAACTGAGGGATACTATGGGAAGCTAAGGAAGACTAGAAGGAAACCGAAAGAAAAACAGAATCAAACAAAAGAAAACTAGAGATTCTGAAGGCAAACTAAGGAAAGCCGAAGGAGACTAAGAGAAATGGATGGAAAACTACTGTAAGCAGCACATACTCAAACTTAGAAAAATGAAAATCGCCTTTTAAAGTTTAGATTTTATATAGTTGAAAATAATGTCAGTGAAAACCACTTCATCGGATAGAGCTTGAAAAAACGCGTCGAATGCCCACCTTGCGATCTTGTGCTGATGTGATTTTATGGGGAAAATATGGTTTAGAAAAAAGGTCTACTTTTCGAAAAGAACGATTTTTTAAAAATTTCGTGGAGAGCGTACGTAAAATTTTGGAAGTTTGTGTACGTTAGTGATTTTGTAGCTCTACACACATAGAATCAAGTCCGACGGTACCAGCTTATGAAAGTGTTTTACTAAAAAATGGTGAAAATGCCTACAAAAGGACTATTCTGGTGGAAAATGGGATTTCCGCAGATCTAGAAGATCACCATGGCGTTGTTTTAAAATTTTTTAAACGTGATATCTGTCATCAGAATTCGAAGTGTACTAGCCCTGTTACTCTTGAACAATCCGGATAAAGTAGATGTAAACGTGGTACCTTTTCGAAAGAATCGCCCCAAGAGGTTACGACTTTTTCTTTGATTTCGCTATTTAATGTAAATCTTGTAAGTTTTCTTTAGACTCTCCAAAGACCTAAATATTTCTAAATTCAGAATGTAACATAAAGCTAAAACGTTTCTGGACACCTTCTGAAGATCCCAAGGGGGCTGGAAACATTCCTCATCGATTCGCCATGTTAGACTATCTATATTCTGTATGTTTTATCTTTCGTAGATGACCTTTTTGTGTTATCAAAACTGACTAATTTCTGGGTACAGCTATCTCCGAAGTGCAGAAAAATAAAAAACGTATCTGACGGCCATTTTTCCATATGTTGCGCACAGCCACACAGATAACCAGCTTGTAAGGCCCTAGACTAAAGCCAAGGGAATATCACTACCATGCAATCAACCTGAGATGAAATTTTCGACGAATAGGATCGATCCTAGAGGTGGCACCTAGTCGTTTTCTGATTCCCCATGGGCGAATACCTGTTGCATATCATCGCAATCCAATCAAGTTTCCGCTACTAATTTGTGTGTCGGTACGGACATACATAGGTACATACAGGCATTTTAACTCGATAAAATCCTTCCTTTACAGTCAAGGGAATATATATATATATGAAACAAAATGAAACGGAAAGAAGAAGCAATACGATATACTTTTCTTTTTCTTTCGTTCGAAAAGAAAAACAAAATTCGTCTTCTTTCTATTAATGAAAATATAAATTTTCGTAAACTTCTCAAAATAAATATGGACAAAAGTAACCTAACTGACAGTCAATCGTTTCAACACATTGTGTTCATTACTGATACGCAATGATTAAGATCGGTATAGACGTGTAGTAACATGATGCTTTCTTCCAACCAAACAAAAGAACTGAAGTCCGTTATTAATCAACATATGATGTTTATCAGTGCTATCCAGCGTACTGAAGTTTGTACTGAAGATAGTACTGGAAAGATAGGAACATTTTCGTGACAGAAAATAATCATTCAGGAAGTGATAAGAAAATGTCCGATTAAATTAATTTTTTGAAAAATAGCTTTCTTCGAGTTTGTCTCAATCGTTATACAGATCTTATAGAACATTGTCAAGATGGGATCTATAATTAAGACGCAAGTTGTAGATATTCAGTGTTAGGTTTCCAGACCCGGCCCTTTCTCTTGAAATTGGTGTAGTTTTCAAGCGAAATCAACCACGAACTCGACAACTTGGCGCGCCTTACTCTTACTTTTGATACCACCTTTGATGTTGTTTAAGGGCCTCCCTCAGAAATTATCTAATTAATTTTTACTTGAGTTTCATTTTTTGGTAAAAATCGCGGTTTTTGATCTTGATTCCAAGTACGATATTGTTATTGTATTGAAGTTGATTTCTGATGGAGAAAACTGAGAACTACGAGCAGAATTCTGACTTTTTCGCCCCTGATTGAGAAAAAATGAGTTTTTTCAGCAACGAAAAGGAATTTCAAAAAAATCGATACGTAACTTTGTTCTACGTGTGAAGGCGAACAAACTGACATAAAGAACTTGGGTCTATCCTTTAACTGTAGGACGAGATAGGTTTGCAAGATGACCATCTTCGATTTGAAGCCGTATCAGAAAAAATGCAGTGCCTAAACTTTATTTTTACGTGTAGAACCTTCAGCCACACTGGCCTAGACGCAGTTTCGAACGCTGATCAAGAGAAACCCTTTCTCGAAATTCTAAATTATTGTGTAGCGAAAATACTGAATTTTTCCCCAAAATTAAAGAGTTTTCGAAAAAGGATACCCTTTGACCATTTTCTATTTTTTTTTCCGGGAAAACAGGCGCTAAAACGGTTCTAAAGGTCATACTCGTAATCCTCAGCGTCAGAGCTATCGGAATATGTGTCTTTAATCGAAAAATAAAACGGTGGTGAATAAAATTTTCGGATTTCTAGCATAATCTCTCTGTACAAACTTTCACTCCTCACTCTTCTTCTTTCAGTGGAATTCAGGGAAGAAGTTAACAAAACCATATGAAGTGGAAATTAAAAGTCGACTTTCTTAGCGTCAGAAGGAATGAGCTCTAACTTTGCAGAACACTTTGTTTATTCTTTTAGATAATAATACATCTATCTGCTGGCGTTCTGAAAACTGAACGACCTCGACACTTTATTCAAACATTATTATTATCTAGAAGAATAAAAAAAGTGTTCTGCAAAGTTAGAGCTTATTCCTTCTGACGCTAAGAAAGTCGACTTTTAATTTTCACTTCATATGACTAATTTGATATAACGTCTCCTCCACTTCACTCGGTACAATTGATATTTCTGTTTCTTTTACAGATTTTGTTGTGAAATGGGAAACTCCGCTGCCACTATTCAACAAAGTAATATTCAATTACTAACTAGAATCGAATCAGTCACTGGTTACAGATTTAAAAATCTACAGTTATTAGAACAAGCATTCACACATGATAGTATGCGTGTCGGAAATCATAATGCTGCAACATATCAACGTCTAGAATTTTTGGGTGATAGTGTATTGCATTATACTATTACTAAGTATTTGTATCAACAAAGACTAATGGCAAATGAGGGTGAACTTACAATAGCACGATCAAATTTGGTAGACAAAGTAAAACAAAGAGAAATAGCAAGCACTCATGGATTAGCTGATTTAGTGGCTTTCGTACCGGGGTTTGATAAGACAAGATTTTCGGGTAATCATAAATTTGTTGAAGCTCTCATTAGTGCAATCCATCAAGAAGGTAGAGTAGAGCAAGCGAAAAAATCAATTTATAAACTATGGGATCTCACATACAGTACTAACAAAACAATCTACTGAATATTATCTACATTCTTTTTGGTCGATGTGAATAAATAACAGATGAAACATACTTTATCGATCAGACAAGAAACTATTTTCTTCATTCAATCCTAATCTTCAATAATAGAACATTCATACATGCATTCAGAACAAATGTATGACTCAGATACTTATTCATACGTTAGTATAGATTATTTCATTCATTTATTTATCGAGGAAAAAGCCGAAGTAAATTGAAATAGTCATTGAACCATTCATTTGTTTTTATTCGAAAGTTCTTGCAAGCTGTTTAACAACCTGCTGTTTTATTGTACCTTTTCGATATTTTGCCTGAAAATGACACTGAATTAACTCATGTACACTGCATATGAATGGACGCCCCTGATCCGTTTGCACTTTCCCATTCGGAAAAGATAGTGCCTTAGGAACGTTTGATTGCCAGTAGTGCGGGATATCGTCAAAATGTTCTTGCTTTTATGCAAGTTTATTATCCGTAATAGTATGGATGTTTAGGTTACAGTTTCGTATGTGTGACGTAAAAAATAAAGTATTAAGTATGGTTCGCTCTTTTTTCTGTCTCGGTAGGGAAATATTTCCGTATTGGGACAGATGAACCTTCTCTGTTCGAGAAATGTTTTTGACTGGACATAATTCAATCATAAATTCTTGTTCTTACCTCAGTGACAAGTTTTGTCAAAACTTCCAAATATTCCTTTTCTTTTCTTCACCGCTGTTCGTTATGGAACAATTTTTTTGTTCCAGTACGGGATTTCCCTCTAAAAGAGACTTTTCTGTAACAGAATGGCACAATTTTCAGTAACGTTCAGGCAAACAAATCATATAAAGAACTAACTAGAAAGCTTTCTCAAATGTCTACCGGATATTTCCGTGAAAGGCATTCAAAAAGAGGTTATCTTTGATGACGACCACAAATCTGACGCCCACTTTCCCTCTTAGGCCTAGTGTAGTGCACTGAAGTTTTCTTTTAAAAATTGAAAAATTAGGATTTTATTTGTACTTTTGTTTTGAATTTGAAGAAAGAGGCAGATATTTATGGAAAGCTTGAACCTACACTTTCTATACAATCATTGTGCGATAGAATAAATCTTCTACATTTGATCGAATTTAATCGATTGTTTCAATGACATAGTTCAACTCTGACTCATCATGATATCAAACTTGTTACTCTTTGTTTATTTCCCTTCGTATTTTGGAAAATATTTTTATGATGGAGGAAACTTGTTCTTAAACATTTGTCATACATATACCTAGGTTTCTTCTTCCTTTTTGACGCTAAAGGCAGATAGAAAATGCAAACGTTTTGATGATCTATTACTACTGTTAATTTTAGCACAGTGACATATTTTCCAACATGTAAATCACCGCTTAAACTGTCAGGAGACCGAGCACTTTATCTGGGCTAAAAGTGTTTTGGACTAAAAATTCTAGTGAAATCTTAATATGAACCATGGAAGAGCGAGGTTTATACAATGGGAAACACCTAATTTTTGAGCTTAAAAGATCGGTAGAATTGAAAGTCGCTAGGCTATAGAAAATAAACGTTACAAATATAGACAGCCTCGACTATAGAAAAATAATTAGAACCGTATCAAATAAGAGATATCTTCTTTGATTTTCTATCCTGCACATGCCCCACGTTTCTCATTCATTTCTGACTCAACAAAAAAAACAAAAACAGAGCAAACTGTTGTGTCAGAAATGAATGAGAAACGTGGGGTATGTGCAGGATAGAAAATCAAAGATATCTCTTATTTGATACGGTTCTATTGTTTGTTACAAAGTTGTATGGTCTACTTCTTTTTGCTGGGGGAACTGTTGCTGTATACACATGCAAACAGCTTGTTGTTTATTAACAGAAGAGAATTCACTGTCGTCTGCTGATCGTTTATCTCGCGTAATGCAGAGAAGCACAAACAAACATTAATACTTTTTTTATCCTTTTGTTCTTTACTCTCATTATGTCTGATCTCTGTTTTGTGCAAATAAAGCAATTTCTGCACTTTTTATCGCTCTCGTTTTACTTGATTTCGCAAACAAATCAAAGAAAATCGGAAAAAATCGATGAAAAATCAGTGAAACTCAGAAAAATTCAAAAAATCAGTTGTTTCCTCCTTGGGTTTATACAATCATACTATTCGGTCATAAAAATGACTATATTCTTGCTGAGTTATATTAGATGCATGGAGTTTCTATGTGGGTCTGCTTAGAGTATGGAGTTTTCAGAAAATGTTGCCCATCACGTTTTTGATGGGAAAGAAATATAAAATATAAGCTTAATTGGAAATACAAATGAACGCTTATTCTAAAACAGGAAAATTAGTGTGCATCGTTAATGATACAATACATGGAGACGAATTGTGACAGCGAGCATTAGGCAAAACCGTTGAGAAAAAACCTCATGGCATCCAACCAAAACATGATTTTTCCTTAAAGTTTATTGTCTCAAGTTTTGCCCTACAGACGTGTGTCATAATGACTTCGTCTCCTGTGTATTCACTCATCTAAGATATATTTCAAGTTTATTTTATAACAAACAAAAAAACGAACAATATGAAGAAACGGAAGAACACAAAACTGGAACAACAGCAGAAAAAATCAAACGATGGAATAGATAGTAGAAGGAGGTGAGTGAGAAAGACGATCAAGCACTATTTCTCGCTCTAAAAATGTGTTAAAAAAACACACAGTTAGATACTCACCTCGAACTGTATGTGGACGACGGCGATATTCTTTTAGTGATTTCGGACATCACCACGCACGCTAAATAAGAGCAACAACTTAATTGAATATATACTAAAATTACGCATTAGTCTTACCTTACACTCCCCTCCATTACGATAAAATTTTATACTACACCAATATAAAACAGATGTAAATATCGCTCCAAGCGCCGTGAGTAAACCAATAACAGAATTAACGAATTCAGTAATATCCTTTAGCTGTAATCCTTGTTTCCGAGCTGTTTCTGGTTTGATGGTAGTGATAGTGACAATTGTTGTTGAAGTGGTGACATCTGCTCAGCTTACAGCAAGTCAATCACATTGTTGTATTTCTAGAACAGGCAAATGAATTAGCTACTTCATACGTCTGAGAAGAATCCCTAGTCGATGTTCTTGTTAAGCAAGAATGCAAGATCTTGTGACATTTCTTGCCCAAGAATCGTTTCTTGCGCATTCTTGCCTCTTTCCTGCCCCAAGAAAGTATTTTTCTTGCGCAAGAAAAATATATGAAAACTTTCTTGTGACAAGAAACTATCTTTCTTGCGCAAGAAAGCAAGAACACTTTTCTTGTCACTTCTTGCTGTAACCAGCTTCACTGCAAGAAACAAGATCTTGCAGTAA